AAAAAAAAAAAAACACATATCCACTATCGGGGTCCTGGTGTGGCACTGTGGGCTAATGCGTCAGACTGCAAAGTGGTTTGAACTGCAAGGTCGATGGTTCGAGCTCACCAGCTGCTTCTTGGAAACCCTGCACTTCACAACAATAAAAACAACCATCAAGTCGATTGTGACTCATACCAAGTAGATTGTGACTCATAGATCTGCTCCACAGGGTTCCCAAGACTGTACAAGAAAGACTAAAAAACAGAAAGTATTTCAAAAAAGCAAGCTGAAAGCCTTGAAGGAAAACATCTCCTATTTAAGAATCCTTGTTAGTGTGAAACATGCTTGTCAAGACAACCTACCAAAGGCAGTTTACCACGAGAAAGAATTCTAACAATCCCTCAAGAGTTACCTCAAGCACAATAGTGGGCTTGGTTCACTGATCCAATAACTTCATCTAATCTTCAAGGTTTGGATGGATCCCAGACTGGTAAATCAATCTTATCCCTAAATGTCAGTTTATCATGCAGCCAATTCCAACTCATGGCAACCGCCTGTGTGTCAGAGTAGAGTTGCACTGCATAGGGTTGATTTTTTTTGTTTGGTAGATACCCCAGGCTTTTCTTTAGAGAAATATATGACAGACTCAAAATACCAACTTTTCAATTATCAGCCTAGTCTATTTGCACCACCCAGAGACTCTCATCCCTGGTATTGTTGGGTTCCACTAAGTTGATTTCAACTCACAGTGACCCCATAGGGTTTTCTTCTCCCACAAACACACTGAGTGAGTTGGAATCACCAAGTTTTTGGTTAGTAGCAGAATGCTTAACCACTGTGCCGTCAGGACTGAACCTTAGTCCTGTTGTTGTCAAGTGCTCTTGAGTCAGTTCTGACTCATACTGCCCCTGTATAGGCTTTCAGAGGAGTGGCTGGTGAGTTTGAACACTGACCTTATGGTTCAAACCAACCTTGCAGTCCGGTGCTTACCCTACAGTGTCACACTAGGACTCCTATCCTATTCCTGGTGGGTGGTGGTGATGGTGGTGGTTATGTGCCATGGAGTCAGTTCATACTCATAGTGGTCCACATAGGATTTCCAAGGCTGTAAATCTTTATGGGAACAGAAAGCCTTATCTTTCTCCCATGGAACTGCTGGTAGTTTTGAACTGCTGACCTTGAGGTTAGCAACCTGACTTTTAACCACTACGCTATCAGAGCTCCTATCCTATTCCTACGAAGGAGAAAATGTATGAAGACACAAGCCAGAAGCTCACCAATTACATCTTACGCACCCTAATCTTCTCCACTGTTTGACAATGTAAAGCTTGTCTTTTACCTCTTTGAAAAAGTTTTAGTGGAATACTCCAGAAACAGGAGTCCTGGTGTGGCACTGTTGGATAAGCACTGGACCACAAGGTTGGTTTGATAAGCACTAGACCACAAGGTTGGTTTGAACCATAAGGTTGGCTGTTCAAACTCACCAGCCACTCCTCTGAAAACCTATACAGGATCACTAGGAGTTGGCAACCACTC